AAGGAAAAAAAATTAGTACTATTTATTATATTTAAAATTAATTTTATATTTATTGGGCTATAAAAAATAAAAAAAGAAAACCTAATCTAATAAAATTGAAAAAACATCGTCTCTTTTATCTACTCTAGTACAATTAATTGTGGTCCCCCACTAACTCTTCCCAAAACAATAACTCCTAACTCCTATCCACATCAAACTAAAAGACAAAACAACATAACCTATAAAAAGAGGGGCTTCGAAACCTTTTCTTTTGCTCCAAAACTTGCAGGTACAATTTTTAATCTCATCTTTTATTGTTTATTTGCTTTGTATTTATGAGATTTTCTAATGGTTATTGTTTCTTGATTTCCGTATAATATTGTTATATTTGATTTTTTATTTTTTTGTGTTTGTTTGAATATCTAGAATTTTTGGTGTTGACTCAATCATAAATTGGTTATTAACAACTAGTTTAAATTTTTATTGGATATCGTTTTCATAATCGTATTCATTGATTTGGGGTTTATTGGGTTTTTTTCACCGTATTTTTTTTTACCTCTAGCGTAATAATTCAAAGAATCTTTTTTTTTAATTGTAATTCTAGGTTTGTGATTGCGATGTCTACACATCAATCTAAGCGATTAAGAAATACCACAATTGGAACATTTTTTAAGAGTGACCGTGAAGTGCTATAAAAAGCTGATGTTGATAGTTCCAATGTTGATGACCAAGAAATAGTCGAACAAACTACTCATAACGATGAACTTCTTGGTTATAAACTTGAAAAAATTGCCGCAGTTGATTCTAACCAGGAATTAATTTTGGAACGTGATTTGGGAAAGCGTCTCCAAATTTGGCAATATCGTGTTAACCAACAAGATGAAATTCGACGTTCTTATATAGAAATAGGGCCATATCAATTTTATTTATCAAATTATCCCTTTTCAAAAAATAAAAAATATCCAAGGAGATTTCAGTATTCTTGGTTTGCCCAATTTCCAACATGGTTAGAGTATTCACCTACTACAGATGCTGCATATTGTTTACCTTGTTATCTTTTTGCAAGCAAACCAAATGGACGTTTTGGGGTAAATGCATATACTGTAGCAGGATTTAGCAATTGGAAAAAGGTTAACGACACGACGTGTGCTTTTCTAACTCACGTGGGAAATCATTCTTCCCCACATTCTGCTGCTGTAAAATCATATCAGGATTTAATGACTCAATCTCGACCTATTGACAATGTTATGATGAACCAAAGTGCGGAACAAATACGACATCGATTGATTGTGTCCGGTGACTTGCATATCAATCATGCCCTTTCCGGGGACATGATGAAGGCCCAAAATTAACCAATCCGGGCCATTTTATAGAAATGGTGAAACTTTTGGCAAGTTATAATGATGAAGTATCTGAAACAGTTTTGGAGAAAGCTCCTCATAATGCCAAATACACGTCTGGAAAGATTCAAAAGGAGATATTGCATATCATTGCTACAAAAGTGCGAACCAAAATTCGTGAAGATATTGGTGATTCAAAATTTTGCATTCTAGGTGACGAAGCACGAGATGAATCAAAGAAAGAGCAAATGGCTCTTCTTTTGAGGTTTGTCGACAAAGGTGGTGTTCTTCAAGAACGTTTTTTTTTTAAGATATTCGACACTGATGCATTGGCTCTTAAGTGTGAGTTATCCACTATTCTTTCTCATCATGCATTTAGTGTTGACAATCTTCGAGGTCAAGGTTATGATGGGGCAAGCAACATGCGTGGTGAATGGAATGGATTGCAAGCATTATTTTTTAAGGATTGTCCATATGCATATTATGTGCATTGTTTCGCTCATCGACTTCAATTGGCTCTAGTTAGAGCATTATTTTTAAGGATTGTCCATATGCATATTATTGTGTTAATGTTAACATTACTGTCCTGACTTTAAATAATATTAATATTATTGTCTAAAACAGCAATATTGTTGTTAACACATAAATATTACTGTTTTAATTATTATTATTATCATGGCATGTAAAATTACCGTCTCACACAGTGATATTAATATTTTATATTATTGTATAAATAGTATATTACATCCCAATATTAATTAATCAAACAATATTAGTATTAATATTAGTATTTGTTTTAATTAATATTAGTATTATGATTATTATTAGTATTAGTATCAATATGAGAATTAATATTAGCATTAATATTAGGATAAGGATAAGTATTAGTATTTGACATCGGCATCGACATCAGCATCAGCATCAGCATCAGTACAAGTATCAGTATCAGTATCAGAATTAGTATTAGTATTAGTATTACTATTAGTATTAGTTTTACTATTAGTATTAGTATCAATATCAATATTAGTATTAGTATTAGTATTATTAGTATTTGTATCAGTATCGGTATTAGTATTAGTATCAGTATTAGTATTAGTATCAGTATTAGTATTCGTATTGGTATTAGTATTAGTATTAGTATTATTATTAGTATTAGTATTAGTATTAGTATTAGTATTAGTATAAGT